AAGCTTAAAAAAAATAAAATGTCAAAAAAAGGCAGAACTGAGGGCTACAAGATTGGGTACTTCTGTGATATATTAGAAATACCAGAGTAGGCCTGAGAGAACGTGACCGAGGGCATCTCCAAAATGCACTTGTCAGACACATCTGGTAAAAGAAAAATTATAGTGCAAAATGAAAGTCCTTCAAGCAATGTTGTTTTCTTTTTTTTTTTTTTTAAATAGGGAGCATTCATACTTTTTTGTGTCATTGCTAAACAAAAAAAAAATAAATCCCCCAAACAAAAATATAACATGTAGTAAGTAGAGAGCAAGAAAAGTCCAAAGGACAAGAAAGAAAACAGGCCACTTTGCAAAGCAAGAAAAGAAAATCTCAGCCTGCATTATTAACTAGATGAGTAGACATGCTAAAACTAAGGCCTTGTTTCTAAGAGAAAAGCTGCACTGTGGTTTAGGTACTTAAATTGGTGCAAGAACCTTCCTGTAGAGGTATCTTAATTGGTTGAAGCATTTCTTACACTTCAGCTTAACTGCATAGGATGCCAATGCAAAGTCAATCCAGGCAATCAAGTAATAGGTGCAGCTACAACGTGATTTTAACTTGACTGATAATTTAACTTAGGGCAACTTCCCTGGTAGAGACATGGCCTTGGTAACAAAGTAGTGTTTAAACCAGTGTTTTGATCTACTTCCAGAATCTGACAGGCCTGGGGTTTAAAAACACCTTTGTATCACCAAAATGTACGTTGCAAAATGTACGTTGCAAAATACCAGGATCAGCCCTTCAGCCATCAGGCCTTCCAGGAACTGTGTGTTAGTTTTTCATTTCCCCGAGAGCCTAAAAAAAAAAAGGCTAAACTTGTCACTTTTCTGTCCATTCTAGTTAACTTTTAGTGTGTACATGCTAAGCCCTCATCCTCCTCTCTTCCCATCTCCCCTCCCAACCCCCAGATTTGCAGCCTACTCATTTGCAGTACACAGCAACATGTATTTCTCAGCACTGTTGAAAACTTTTCCTAGAGAAGCTGACATGATTCCTAAGATGCAGTGGCAACAGCAAGTGCCCTCCCAAATCAAAGCAATAGGCACGGTTGGCTACTACAAACTGTAAGTCAGTAGCTCAGTTTCCTCTTCTGTGTAGGTATATACAGTACACTGTTGTACATCCACACCCACACAGAGACAGGGTGGAGAACCTGTTTTCTGGCAGTATACAGAAGTTAGGATCAAAGCACTTAAAAAAAATCATCAAAGCTTTCATTTTGAAAATCGCAAAGAGTTCCAACTTCAATTATTACACCAAAAATGCCATAAACAAGCATTAAGGAAAACTATAAAACCCTGTTTGAAAAACGACGCCTGCATTTGAAAGTTTTCAGGTAGGGAAACCCATTCTTGAGGTGATAAAGGCAGCCTACCCCCCATCTCCACATTTTTATGTATATAATTTATATATATAATTACATCATTATATATATAACTTATATAGCATGAGTATGTCTTGGACTTTTTCCTCTAAGGAAGGAGGAAAGTTTCAGCTTTACAAAACAGATCTTGCAGTGCTAAATCTTGCCACTGAAGCCAGTGTAGAGCTGTGGAGGGGAAAGACTGCAGTAGTCATCCCTAAACTATTAATGAAAAGAGAAACAAACGTGACAAAAGGAAGAAGAACATCCAAGCTTGGTCTGGAAATGATCATTCAAGAAGGCGTAGATTTAATGCTAGTGAAAGACAGGCAAGACTTGTCAATGGGTAGCTGAAGTATCTTGTGAGGAAATAATTTTAATTTTTCAATACAGAGTTAAATAGAGTTATTGACAAGCACTGTTTCTTATTCTTGGTTTGTAGGGATCTTTGCAAGTGCAATTCTATCTGAAATCAGGAAAAAGTACTTTCAAAGAGTATTGGGTTAGAGGCATCACCCAAGATATGAAAGCTTAAAAACAGTCTTACTGGATGGAGTGACAGGACATGCCAAGTCCTGAATGAAATCAAGAATAAAAGCCCTTGATCCACTGGGTGCTGGCCTAGTAACATTAAATTATTTACAAAATTTTCCTTTTTTTTTTTTTGTTTTTTAAATTTATAGATTTTGACACACATTAAGGGAACAGGCAGAGAAAAGGGAACACTTAAGCAAGTTGGATTTTCATCAGTTTTGTCAAAAGCACCAATTATGACCTCTTCTGTATACAGATAAATACACTATGTGTGTTAGAGACAGCTAAAAAGCCCGAATTGTCTAGGGCCAGGTAAAAACGAGGGAAAAAGCCTGATTCTGTAGATATCAGGAAGGTCACACATAAGACACACTCCATCACAGCAACTATCATATTGATTGACTCCATTTTAGCCATACACCCTGGTGAGTAGTTATCTTTTTACTCCTAAAGTTAAAACAGTTCCAGAAGTAAGGACCTGGGGGCTTGTCCTGGGTTCGGGTTCTTCTTCCCCATCTGTGTTTGGTCAGTTCTTTCCACATATTAAGTGAAAATGTGCTAGCCTAAAAAAAAAAACCAATACACCAGTAAACGCAATTCCAAAAAGTTTGAGGAAAATAAGAATTAATAAAATTTAAAAATTAACCTTTGTAGAAATATATATTGGCTTAGACTTCAGGTCTTGGAAACCGTCTTTGAGACATCACATGGGTTTCTACTCTAGCAAACTTGTTTCCATACTATCTGCTTGGTCCCTGCAGCTGTGACACATCTCATGGTACAATATTGCTTCAAACCAGTTTGCTAAGGGTTTCTTTAAAGATTTCTTCCTCTCTAAGTCTCATGAAGAAGCCTTATAAAGTGTAACGAGGATGAAACTATGAGAGTTTGCGAGAAACCCTACAGACCTGTCCTACAGTCTGATCTGCCAGCACAAGACTGGGAAAAACTGGAACCAGTACACAATAAACCACTGAGAACTCTGAAATGAATCATAGAAACACAGAAAAATGAATGTTGGAAGGTACCTCTGGAGGTCACCTAATTCAACCCTCTGTTTAAAGTTAGATCAGACTGCTCAGAGCCTTGTCCGAAACACTGAAAGAATCAAGGATTTCAGTTCATCCTTTCCCTTCCTCTTTTGCCAATTTATCCAGCTAATGTAATTTTCTAGACTGAGTACAGGCTACTGTTCTGAAAAAGAACAACTCTGGGATAATGAAAAATACTCCGGACTCTAGAATGCTCTTTTCTGTTAGGCTAATCTTTATAAAATACATGTGATAGTTTAGATTGCTCTTTTTCTCCTAAGAAGAAAAATAAACAGAACAATGATGCATTGAAGTGGTGTTTTGGTCTCTAAAAAGTGACTAAAATACAGCATCATTTGTCTTTGTATTTGATATAGTATGAGTGAAACAATACATTTTTTTAGTTTAAGGTAAACCAGCAATGATCACATTGGAAAACCAGAATTTTGCTTGCCAGGCTTCAAGCTGGCAGCATAGAAAGTGTATTTCTACAAGCATATTTTCATACACTGATTCAGCAAATCTGATTAGAAAAATTTTTATACTGGTGCTTCTTAAATGATTTTTCGTAAGTCAGTTTAAAAATAGAATATTATCATAGAGTATAACTTGTCTCAATTAGATAATTGAAGAATCCAAAATAAATAATTACGTCGATGCTACAACATACGAAGCACATCTTGATCTGGAATATTCTGTCTGGTTTTGGTCTCCCTATTACAAGAAAATTACTGACATATCGGAGAAAGTCTCGCAGACAGCCACCATGGAGATCAGGTTCTGGAACACATGATGGATGAAGAGAGGCTGAAAGACATGGTTCAACCTTATGAAGAAAAAGGTGAGGGTAGATCTTATTGCTGTCTACAGATACCTAACAGAGGGCGCAGAGAAGAAGGCAGACTCTTCTTGGAGGTGCACAGTGGACGAGGCAATGAAAACAGGCTGAAACATGGAAAATTCCTACTTTACACATGGGCTTTTTAATTTGTTTTAAATTTTACCATGAAGGTAACCAAATACTGGACCAGCTTGTAGAAGAAGGTTGTAGAATTTCCATCCTTGGGGATATTTAAAACTCAGCTGGATATGGCCCTGAGCAACTAGCTCTAGCTGGAGGTTGGCCAGGACAGTTTGTGGAGGTCCCCTCCCACCTGCATGATTCTATCACTGACTGCTCTGCTCCAAAATATTATTTATTTACTCATAAAAACTCACGTTTGCTTTAGTTGCTTCCTCTATGTACACTATTTTCAGAGACTTTTGTCTCAATTTCTTCTCACTCTGTAGTTCCACACCCATGGAAACCACAATCTGACTTTTTTATAATGGCTTCTCTTTTGCAAATAGGCATAAATCTAGCATGAAGGAAACAAGGTAAAGCTTCTCCTTTCTACAGCTGGATAACTCAGTCCTCAACTGTCACCAAATCAGCTGTTTCTGGGTTTGCTTCCAAGAAGCCTTACAGAGAGGATTAGGCTTTCCTCATTAGTCTGTTTCTACTCATAGTTCACAAATAGAGGACAACTGTACAACTTTAGCAAGGAGACACAGGCCCAAAAAGGATCTAGCTATAACAGATTACACAAGTTTGAAGTGCACATCTTAAAATATCTGTGAAAAAAAAAACTTGTCATTGTAAAAAATGAATCCTGGAATGTTGAATCCTAATTATGCCTTTCCAAAATGGAGACTTCTTCTACAAAATACCAGCTATGGTTCAAAATCTTACGAATGACTAAGATACTTGCATAGGAGCACCCAAAACCTGAAGTCTAGAGATTGGCTGAGTACACCATGTATACAAGTGAAAAACGTCTCCCTTTACAAGCAGAAGAGATGTTCCCAAAGCTCAAAATCTGGCTTCAGAATTTATGACCTACTACAGAGATAGCCTGAGAAATCTGAAATATGGTTAAGTAAGTCTCTTACTCCCCTTTTATCTATGCTTTTAGGCTATTTGAATCCATGATTTAGATGTAGGTCTGCCTCTAGAACAAAATCATCAGACGTTTCAGCATGTTTTGTTTCCATGGGGCCCTTGTTCTGCCATATTCAAATAAGATGTCAACAAGACCATAAATGACAACTGGAAGTAAATAAAGAGTCTTGCTTGATTTTTGCAGTTTTAAATAGAGTCTGGTACTTAAACTGTCACTTAATAATTAAGGTTTTTAGACTACTGATAGCGTGTCTAAAGGCAGGTGTGTTCAGAGGTCAAAAGAGGATATTTATACAGGTTGACAGCCAATGATTATCATAGTGGTGGGTTTGAGAGCACGCACTTTAGGACACTAGAGTAATGAAATTCTAGGATTCTCTTACCCTTGTTTTCATCTAACACACTGACTGGATGCTCTACAGTTTCACACAGCTGAGGTTTCAGTTCCCATTAGACATCTGGCAGGATGCTCTATATATTCCAACACAAATTGGATTGTAGGGCCCTCAGTCCCAGTGGAACAGCTGGGTGGAATGGCCATTAGAAAGTATGCAAATACAGAGAAATACGAGATTGTCAGCAAGCAGTGCTCCGCAATTTTTAAATGTATACATATATATATAAGCATATATATATACACATAAAGAGTATAGTTAGTTTAAAATCTTTGGAATAAACTCAATTTTCGTTCTGTCTTCCTTTCTTTTCTGTCTTTCACTCTCTTTCTCTCTCATGCTCTTATCACAAATGTTACATCATTGTCCCTAAAAGATGGTTAGATTTTGGTCCATATTTCATGCCATATGGGCCAGACATCGTATTTCCCCCCTGTCCCCAAAGTGTTCAATTGACAATCACAGTGTTTTGTGAAAACTGTGAAGAAAGCCAGCATCTTTTGAGTAAATTCAATCTCTCACTGGAACCGAAGGTTGCAAAGCGTGAGATTGCACTGTGAGGGTGGTAAGACACTGGAACAGGTTGCCCCTAGAAGTTGCGGATGCCCCATCCCTGGAAGTGTTCAAGGCCAGGTCAGACGAGGCTTTGGTCTAGTGGAGGTGTCCCTGCCCATGGCAGGATGGTTGGAACTAGATGATCTTTAAGGTCCCTTCCAACCCAAACCATTCTATGATTCTATGATTCTATGAAAACACTGAGAATTCAAGTGCCAAGGATCCTGGTGACAGCTCTTAAACATCTATTGACTTTCCCGTTTCTTCTTTTTTTCCCCTAAGAGTACAGTTTTACCTCCCCGAACATAAATTAAGGGAAATATTTAACAGTCAATGCGTCAAAACAGTCAAAGAAGGGCAGTTGGCTAATACAGTATAAAAGAGCAGCAACCATTTGTGGACCACACGCCATTTTGTTTCGTTTCTAGACACATCTTGTAGGGATGGGTCCCAGAATATACAAAATATACAACCAAATGACCACCTGCCTGCTTGCATAGGCCATTTTCATGGTCCTAAATGCAGTCTTTGGAGTCAGGGCCAGTGCCAAATAGTTTTAAATGCAAGTTATGGTAAGATACATTTTTTTGTTTCTCTTTTGCAATGAAGACTTCAATCCTCTTTGAGCCAACAAAATCAAATTAGCAATAGGACTGAAGGGTAAGCATGAGACCTCCACTTCTTGATGGTTCACACAGGAGTCCAAAATGGACCTCTAAGTTAGTAATACTTTAGACCAATCATTTGGAAAGCCTCACTGCTGTATGTAAAATCCAACCCTTCCTTCACCGTTCACACTATTACACTTTTTCATACAGGAGTGGACTACAGCATCAACTTGATGAATGGAAAAGGAGGACTTTGATAATTTCTTTAAAAGGCTAATGCTGAATGAAGCCATTGTACTTGGAAGAGGTTCTCGATTTCCCACTCAAAGACTGGAGCAGGATTTTTGGCTTGGTTTTTTTTTGTGTGTAAGATGCTCAACAAACATTAGCTTTAAATTAAAACGTCGGCAGGTACTCTTTACACAAACGAAAGTCCAATGTTTTAGATTGGTTAATAGAAGAATAGCAAGAAAAAGCAACATAATTCATCGCTAAGTCACTGTGGGTTGTGGCTAACATGCTCACATGATGTGGAAGGAATCCTGTAGTCATGCCTGTGTGGCCAGTCCCAGACGGATATCCAGGTGGAGACAAGGAGTTCTGAAGATCACTTGTTCGTGAAGAAAAGAGAAAAAATGTTTAAGCTTCCGAATAAGCTTTTAAAGTTTTTTGTTCAACAAATAAACAAGAAGTCCTAGCTATGGCAATAAGGTGAGGCCTACAGAGATATTAGGTGCTGTTTCTCTGGGGTTTATCCCTTGGCCACTTAGCCATCATGGCAGCAGCTTCCAGAGTCCCTAGTGCATATGTTGTGCAATAGCCAAAACAAAAATTAAAATAAAAATAACCAACAAAAATATAGTCCTCCGTGAAGTCTACATAAACTCAGGCCAAAAAGAGGATATTTGTGTCACAAGTGTCACTCCACAGTCTACTGCCATTAAGGCCACTGGTATTGACTTAAAAGGATCTCAATAGCTCAGTTCTAGGAAGAAGAACCAAAACCATGACAGGTCAAAGTGTCTGTGAGAAGTCTGACGCACTGAACATTAGGAATTCTCAGACAAAGAACAAATGAACCAAGAGGTTAATTTTGGCTACCAAACTGGGATTTGGTTTTCTAGGTCATTGTTCCCCCCCATCTATTTAAAAAGAAAGTTAGTGCTACAAATATGCAACTTTGAGACGACATATTCTCCTATTGAGTTGCATTGAGAAGCAGAGTTAAATAAGCCCCTCCTACTGCCGTCCACCTGCAGGGAAGTCTCCTCTGTTTTCTTTGATTTCCACTGGCAAAACCAGGAAACAAATCCAAGGGACGAAGTACTGTAAGCAAACGTTTCTCCTCATTGACTTCACCTCTATACCATTTCCTCGCCTGCATCTTCTCCCATCCAGCTGGGGCAAGGCATGAAGAACTGATGTACGTATTGAAGTATAATCAGGTGCATGACAGTGTGAGCGTGTGGTCTCTGTACAGAGGATTACACGTGATCAAGTTCTCTTCTCCTGCAAGGTAGCGCCTTGAAACTTGAGTCCCACTTTCATCTCACAACACTGAGCTCAGATGACATCCATGCCAAGCTGACTGATATTTAGATGTGTCTTTTCATGTGGAGGGCAAGGTGATCAGACCTGGAAAAACACCTGCAAAATAAAGCAAGTGGAAAACGACATAAATACAGGATTTGGGAAAACAGGCTTCCTGTTCCTTCTTCGTTATGTACAGGAGGAAATATATATTCAAGTTTAGAGACGTTCCTTAGATTTCCAATGGACCACCATCAAACCCTGTTCAATTGACTTCTCCGACCACGTAGATGCCCAACTATCCTGGCTCTTGGGCAGTTAAACAGACTACTCTTCTTTCTCTGTTCCTCTCCCTCTCTCTGCTTTCACTGAGTCACACATCAGGGAAGAGTGCTCACTATGCACCCGTAGTACAAAATCAAATATTTAGTATTAGTGTGTGTGTGCATATAAAAAACAAAGAAATAAAACAAGTCAGTTTTGTTCACAGTTTTCACTCAGCAAGACCAGTTTAAAAAAACCACCAGCTTTCTCAACTGCCCAGTACCTACAACAAGCACCGAAGTACAATGTCAGTTTTGAAAGCTGAAACCTTATTTCTAACTCCAAACTGAAAGGAAAGCTGGTTCAGAGTTTGCAGGGTGATAATCTGTCAGGCTACATACTCTCTCCCTGCTGGGAATCTGGGTGGTAATATGTGGATGTTGATGAATGCTATCTCCTTCAAGGATGTTGAAAGAAGGTAAGGTATTATGCCTAATTTGGAAGAATGAAAATTGAAAGACGGAGAAGGCAAGGAAATTGTAAATCACACAAGAAGTCTGGCAAAACAAAACAAAACAAAAGCCAGGAGTTTAGCTTTCAACTTCTTTTCTTTATCCACAAAGCCATTTTTCTCCATCTCATATGAAAACGACACGTTTTGACACTCTGAACATGTAGGTGGATGCTGATGAGAGACTTAGAGTGGCAACCCTAGAGAACTAGTTGAGGTTTAGGGCTGGTCTAAACATGCAGTTAATTGAGAATAAGGTAGGGCATGAATCTTGATTGAGAATAAGGTAGGGCCTGTATTCTTGATTAACTCCCTCTCTAAAGGCTTACGACTGCCTTCTTCTGAAATTACTTAATTCACTTGGGAAGTGGGTTAAGATACTCAATAAAAACCACACTTGCTCCTGGAGAAGAGCAGCCCCACAAAGAGTTAATCAGGAATTACTATTCTAAACCAGCTGCCTTGTAAAAGACATGCTGCAGGGCACTCATACCAGCAGGAACAGCAGCCCATATCCAGGCACTTCACACCACCAAGATATTGTCATAGTGATCAGGGGAATATGTTCTCAGGAAGACAAGTGCTTTTCTCCCCTGACATTCAACATATACCCTTTTTTATCAAGACTGCCAGTAAGCAAGAATATTTACCTGACTTTATACCCATTTGAAAGGGATTGAAAGCACCAACCCATCACAGTGTCATTACAGGTATGGACAGCACCCCAGAGCAAACCACAGGACAAGCAGGGAGTGGTTCTGGCTGCCTACCCCAAAGCCCTAAACTGAAGCCTGCCTGTCAGAGCAGCAGTACTCACACTCTCTCAGAAATTAAACTAGATACTTCAAGTTGAGCACTAAAAAGTGGAAGGTTCCAGATTTCCTTGCAAATCCTGGTTTACCTTCTTTCCACCCTAAGCCACAAGACACTGGCTTCTTTATTTTTACTAATAGCAGAAAACATCTATTATAAGTATCACACAAAACCCCACGTATCTGTGGCTTTTGAGTAAACTGGTTTTGTAGGTTCCAAGGGCACTAAGAAAAGTGACTTTCAGAACTGACTTGCCTGGAATGTCTTTTCACTTCCTGCCCCATAGACTTAAGAGTATAAAAGAATCATCAATACTGGTCTGAAGAACACCCAGATGGCTTATTGTGAGAATGTGGATGGCTCATACAGGGGCACTGAATGTCCTTTCAAAAAAGCAGTTTTTAGTTGAGTATCCCACATTTTTCAGGAAGCAGAAGGTAAAACAATTAATTTAACTACTCAGTAAAAAAAAAAAGAAAAAAGTCAAAGATAAAAAAAACCCCACTCAATCTAAAGGCAAACACCCAGAGGATAAACACCCTAAGCAGTAAAAGGCTGAGAAAGAGAAGCACTATAAAAATGAAGAGATTTCAAATAGTTAGGGGATCCTTTCTGTCCCGCTGGCAGTATTCCCCTGCATGGGCAACCCATCTGCATCTACATGCAGAGATGAGCGATCAAGAGGGGCATTTTTAAGACAGAGAAACCTCATAAGAAGGCAACTTTTGCAATAAAAGCTAGATATTCATCTTCTGCGGATGAGCATAGCTCTGCTCAAGTCAGCTGTTCTCTGCTGATTTGCAGTGGCTTACAAGGGGGTCAATACCTTCAGAGTGGCAAAAATTAAAATGAAAGCCTTCAAAACAGGATGGAGGCTGCATTCCTCCAAGCTCCTGCATGAGGCACAGCAAGACAGATATGAATCGGACAATGGACACTTGGCTTTCAACACAGCAGGCTCAGCACAGCTAGAATTTTCTAGCCATAGGGTGCCAAAATACACCCTTGGACCAACATCCCTCTCGTCAGTCTAAACTGAGAAAGCAGCATGCTCTGGCTACAAGGGCTGCCAAAACAAAACAACAGCTTGAGTGGCTGCCAAAAAGACATGCACCAGCTGGCACTTCAGTCTAGGACTAGTCATAAGACCACCACCCAAGCATGGCTTTTCCTCTCTGATTGTCTCTGTCATAGATGCAACTCAGGAAAAAAGAATGCTGAGTCACAGCACAGCAAGATCTGTTAAAAATACGGATTCAGTATGTTGTCTCACATCAGTAACCACAGTATTAGCATCTAGTATATTTTTCAGCCCTAGAATATGTTCATAGCTAATAAAATGGTTCCATATTTGCTAGTTTATAGCTAATAAAATGGTACAATACTAATTCTTCACATTCTCCTGCTGATTAATTTGGTTAGTTCTACCTCTTCGTAAGGCTGGTGGATGTGGATATTTATTTTCAGCAGTAAAACAGTCCCTAAATCACACTGACAAAAAAAGCTACTCATGAGTGGACACATTTTTTTAACTTCTGGGACCAGAGGCAGTAGTGGAAGAGGCTCCATAAGATAAGCTGTCAAGGGAAACTCCTTTCTTCACAAATTAGGAAACAGCAGCTTGCTGGTCTCCAGTCCTGACCATGAGACAGACTATCCTGCTCCACATCTTTGGCTCTACACCTCTTCCAGTTCCAGACCAGCTCTGCATGTTGTACATGGACCCATCACAATCCTCATCACCATCCCTCTTCCAGTCCAGCTCTTCCTGGCAAGGATAGTTTATGCTAGAATAAGATACCCTAATTCTGAAAGTCATACGGTGATGCACGATACGTAAATTCCTTACTCCCAAACATGATTCCTTCCTTTCTCTTCTTGCTTTATCTCCTTAGCAACAGAGCACTGCTTGGCACTGAAGCCTCTGCAGGAGGAAGAGGGAAGGTAACTATGCTGAGAAGAACATATATTGCTTATCCATCTCTTACCAGCTGTGGATTCTCCACTGTGGGATGTGTTCATTCCAGCTAAGTGTGCACTTACCTTGCTGTCAAAAAGAAAACCGTGTGCACATGTACACACACACACAGAGGAATACACACCCCAACAGTCTGGCACTAAGCTGCTATCTCCTAAACACATATTTATGTAGAACAAGCAACTGCCAGTACCCTGTCATCCTCTTCCCTTTTGAGTGCTGAGGGCTTGCACTGTGTGAGGAACATAACCCTAGCTTTTGTTTCTGAAGAGCAAAATTCCGGGGGATTGCTAATAACCAACATACCCCTGGTGCCTGGAAGGCAGTATGGACTTGTACACTGCCTTCTGCATCACTTCAGCTGATTCTCTTTTCTCCCCGGCTGCCACCAAACCACACACCATTTGTAGTATATATGGTGCTACTCAAACCAGTGGTAGTTTACTAACAATGTGATCTGTGGGCTGCATGGTGTTGGAATAAGGCTGGGACAGCAGGAGAAGAAAAATCACATCTTATCTCTTTTGTTTTAAAACTGACCAGTACACAGAGGACATTAATATCCCTTTGATGTCATCCAGAAGGTCAGAGACACAAACACATCTGAAAACAGCCTGGGAAGGGAACTGCAGCCAGACTGTGTGCACAACATTCCCCTTCTTTGCTTTCATGCTCTGATTTCCAAAGTGTGGCCTTCACCTCTGAACAACAACAGGCATACATTTTGTGCTATGTCAGTGTTGTTAAAAGAGCTACAAAGGACTTCTTAAAGTTTAGCAAGCCAGGTGTCTGAGAGAGTTCCACTCCTGTCAATAATGGTGTGTGCAATAAAAGGTGGCAGTTCAAATACAGAGACACTGTGCTCCAGCTGGGAACCCTGGCTAAGGAAGGAGTGCCTTTAACATTAAAAGTCTGCCTAAATAACTAAGGACAGACCTAAGCACATGTTTCAGTGCTCGCCTGAGGTAGCATCTGCCAGAAGAGGTAGTAGAGAGATCTGCAAATAGAAAAGAAGATAAAATAGTGGTATGGCAGAGCAGGCCTAAAGAAGAACAGGCACTGCCACTCTACAAGCCTGCAACAACTGGGAGAGTAAAGACAAATGTGTCTCCTGCCACCACACACAGATGGTATGCACACGGAGTTGAACAGTGCGCAATCCCCAGCACTCTTAACTTACTAATACATATTTTTCAGCATCTACAGATTCAGCTAAAGAGCAGAAAATGCATTAGATGATTGCAAAAATTTATCTCTTGACTGCAGTGACTGAGTTGGCTGCCAAAGCAGAAACCTGCGTAGGTAGGGATAATATGTAAAGGGAGAAGTATGGATACTTAACAGAGGTTTAGACTGAGTAGTTGTAACTACTGACTGTATTTCTTTAGATTTCTGCTAAAAATATTGTCTGCCTGACACAGAAACCCTAGGGCTTTGTGTGTATGTGTGTGTGGGGGGCCACGATGGTTAGTCTGTTCTTCAGAGTGAAGAAAAGAAAAAGGCAATGCCTTACATTTATAACAGAGAACATAACTGTTCTCTGCCACAGAGAGGTGCTTATACAAAAGCAGAACTCCAGAGGTCCCTACTTGTCTTATTCTGTCCCTCATTCTGAGCAAACAAAAGATAATCCAGGGATAAAACAAAAGATAATCCAAGAGGAAGCCCTCTGTGGGGGAAGGGGGATGGGAAGAGGGGAGACAAGGGCAGAAGAGCACTTAAGGAGATGAAGGTCTTGGAAAGGCAGGATGTGAAAATGATCAAATTTCCTTCCCATAAAAGGATGGGGTCCCTTGTTTATGTCTCACACATCCTCTCTCCACGCATGTTCTCTGCTGGTCTGGTGTACCCAGAGGCTTCCTACAGCCTTTATTGTATTACAAAATGTTTCCTTATCAGCACAGAGAACCTTAGTCCTGCATTAAAAAGATGGGTAATTTTCTTAAGCCTCTTTAAAAAATATATATAAATAGGATTAGCTGGATAACATGTTCAGATGCAAGCACATTATTTGATTACTCAATAGTGGATCCAGGTTTCACCCAGGGCACTGCCAATATCCAGCTGGGGGGGGTGCAAGGGGGAGAAGTGCTCATTGTTCGATCCTGTCAGTGCCGTCAAGAGTCATTACGGGGGTAATTGCTTTTGCTCCACCCTAATTTCTTATCAGTTTGGATTGGGGATAGGGAGGAAGGTTTTTCTTTTGGTTTTGTTTCTAAATTCAAAGAACAGAGCTTTCAAAAACACTCAGCACCAAGCAAGGATGACCGGGTTTTTCAATGAGCATTTCGTTCGCTCAAGCAGCTAAAGCAGTGAGGACCGTAAAAAGGAATCTGCAGTGAGGAGCAGCAACCAAAGCTCCCACTGGGAGCTGCTGGGTGCTCAGCTCACCAGGCAAAATGGTCCCTTGTCTTTAAGTGCCCAGAGGAGAACTGTTGCACGACAGGCTTTTGAGAAACCCTGGCTTTGGGTACCTGTCAGGCTTTTAAATCTGGGCCCACACAGAATGAAGGTGCAGAGTATTTCCCACATCAAACAGATGTCAAGCAAGGGTGAGATTTAAAACTGTAGGAAAAGATTCACTAACGAGTAGGAATATGCAGAGATCACTGATCCTACACAAAACAACCCCATGAAATTGAATTGTAAGATGTGCCTAAATCACTCTTGTGCTTTTGAAAACTACACCCTTTTATTGACCCTCTCCTGTTGAATATGGGGAACATGGAGCCCTGGACTCAGCAGTAAGTGAAGACAATGATCATACAGAAATTAAGTGCTTTTTTTCCTAGAGGTTTCCTATAGATTTGGGCACCTGTGGCATGACAGCCACAAACACTTCCCATCTCCCCTGTTGTACACCCATGTGTTTGTGAGGCCCACCCTGCCAAAAGGCAGGCAGCCAGCAGTGGTACTCGGGGTAATCCTTGAAGCTCTGCCTTTGTGAGGGCACCAGGCTCATAGGACCAGCAGATGGCAAGCTGTGGAGATGCTCTGTTGAGAGGCTCATTGCTGACGTGGTCTAGGGCCCTCCTGGATGTCTTCTCTGATTTAAGAGAAACCAGCAGGTTTCAGGCAGACCTACGTTGGTCCCACATCTTTTTCTGTGCTGTGGTATGGAAACAGCTTAGGCTGTTTAGTAAGTATTCGCCCTCGCCAGCCGGCCTGGCCAGTTAGGCGGAGATGACAGCAGCAGAGTGGAGGGTCCCTCCTTCACTTGGGGATCAAGGCAGTGGGACAGGAGGCCAGAAGGGGCCTCTCTGCTGGGAGCCAGGTCTCTTGTCTCAGGGAGCTGGTGGCTCTGTGCCATTCACAAAGTCTGCATGTTGGTTGAACACCGTGTTAGGAGGCTGCATTACCTGTCACAATGGTTGCATTTAAAGGGCTTTGCACCCGTGTGCTTTCTGTAATGCCTCGTGAGCTCGTCGCTCCGTGCAAAACGCCACTCGCACCCTTCCCACGAGCACTTGTAAGGCTTCTCACCTGCAGAGGGGAGGAGAGAACAGTCAGTGTGGCAGCAGGATTACTGAGCACTCAACTTGCAAGCCCTGTGTCCTCCCACCTTCTCTGCCCCGCTCAGGCAGCTAAGCCTGTCACACAATTCGTGGCCAGTGTGGGATGGAAACAACTTAGGGCTTATGATACACTGTACTAAAGATGGATCCAGCCCAAATTTTACTACTGCTAAAATTATTGTACAATCTCAATTCCCCTTTCTAACAAAACCAGTCATTTACTCTTCAAAAAAGCTCTCAGAATGTCCCCAAATGCCTGTGCTGCTGTGTGGCTTGAGCCTGATTTTCAGTCAGCGTTTCAGCTCACTTTACCCCTGTTGATGAATTACTGTGGTACCTGTACCAACACCTGATCATAGTGCAGGTGTGCACCACCCCAGTGACCACCACCAGCACATCACATGCTCTACCCCAGCTGCCATTTACGCCTCACATGGCCAGGCTCACATCTGTTCCCTTCAAGCTTTCATGTCCACTGCTCCCTAGGACTGCACCTTCTTTAGTTGCTTCTGACAACAAAATTTCTTGGTTCAAGAAATTACGTGTCAGGACAGTGAGTGTGAAGGAGAAATGTTTTCTTCTTTAAATCAGCTGGTCCTTCAGACTTCATGCACTACACCTTCATCAGCTGTTTTTATGTCCCAAAATATCAACCATACCACTGAAGGCAGTGAAACAGAGCAGCAGTAAGACAGGAGAGATTCTGGTCTGCTGTCTTCACATCTACCTATCTTCTAATCATAACCAGTCTCTATGGGTCAAAGTCTGCCATGGTGTAAAATCCACGGAGTCATTAGCACCTTCTGATGATGAATTTCAGGGTTTTGTGCCCCTCTTTTCTTATTCAGTGCACGTGTATTCATGTGCATGCAAATTTATCATCTCCCCCCAGAACAAATGCTCCTGTGCATCTCCGCCTCTATAAACTCCATGTCACTATTCCCCACGCAGTCAGCACCGTATGGGTGCAATAGAAGAGGGAGTTGAGATAAAATGCAGACAAGACATCACTTTCACACCAAGCCTCTAAGCTAGGAATTATAAACAGAGAAGGGTTTATTACTTATTTATTTGTTCTTAAAATTGCTGAGGAGGTGATCTTAAAAAATCCACCACTGACCAAACTGAAGTCACAGTCTGTATGACCTCTCTTATTCCAGTCACGTGAAATAATCACTTGGCTCCAGCAGACAAATTTCTCAGTGCAGAGACACAGATTTCTATATTCAGCAAGTAAAGGAGTGAGACCTGATTATGGGAGATTTATGTATTTCAAGGTGACAAATTGGAGAGGCCAAAAGAGCAAGAAAAGTGAAAAGGGCAAGAGAATGGCATAAAAATACATTTTTAAACAGCTGTTCTCTGGTGAGTGAGTTTCTGCACACTTCTTATGGCACAGCAGCTCTGCTGCACAGTGGTCATGCACCCCAGAGAGACCAGCAGAATGGGCTGAGGCGTTACCTGGAGCTGAGCCATTTTAACTGCCCTCTGAGAAGTTTCTCTGGCTCAGTAGCTCAACTAAAGGATTCACTGGGGTGGAGCAATGAAGAGGTGGCAGCAGCCAGCAAGACTTTGTCAAAATACCCATTTGTTCCTCAGTCCCTGAATGCAGAAAGGCCAGCCTGGATATCTCTGTTGTGGGCCACAGTTCTCCATGGGAAAATGCCCAACAGGACAATGGACTGAGCCAGCAGTAACACCCCCCACTTAGACTGTGCCTGCCTGGTCATCTCTGCACACTTGCCTTTGTTCTTTTTTTCATTTAATAGGATTTCTTCAGGAAAAAAAGGGGAGTGGGGGTAAGAAACAACTTGTTAGTGTGCCAAGTGCTGGTGTCTTGCTTCTGGGCTTACTCAACTGTAATTCAAACACTGTCACCAGTGCTGGCCCCAGACACTGGAGCTGGAGCTGCAGTGCTCTCCCCACCGCAGCCCTTGACATCCTACCTGGCATGCTGCATCTGCTCTCTCCTTTGCAGAGCAAAGGGATTTCCCCAGCCCTGGCCATGTCTATGACAGCACACTGGTTTTGTCTGAACAGTTCATGCATTATTTTTAAAAGCTGCCAGTAAACAAGCCTCAATTCAGCTTCCTCAGTTCTCTGACGCTCTCTAGTGCCTACCTCCAAGTGAAGTCAGAAGGCAGACACTGCCTTTGCTGCAAAGCAGATGCAGAAGAGGACTGCTTAGCCAAATCTGGTGGGTACAGCCTGGCTGAAGGATACAGTCACCTACAGAGCAGAAGGATGAAGGAAAAACATCCTGGGCTTTCTATGAAACTATTAGGCTACCAGGACTGAAGTGGATTTTGGCTTGTTAACATTAGCCAAGAGCTTTGAAAATGTACAGTGCTATATATAGGTTACGAGAGACAGAAATGCCAAGCATGGTTACTGGTAAACCCATGGGATGCCACATATCTCTTACTTGCTGCAGGGGCTCCTCTCTCAAGTGTTTCTGGTCTGGCCTTGCACAGCCCTGAGCTGCGTTTTGGTTTCAGATGCTTTTCCTCTGCAACCCAAGCCCCATTCCACAAAATGTCAGACAGTACCTCTCTGAGCTCCAGACAGCCTGCTGGCACACAGTGCTCTGTGTAGCACAAGATAAATGCAAAGAAGCACAGTGACCTTTAAAGCCATATCAGACAGCTCCTTGACCCAGAGACCTCAAAGAGGTTAGATTTCCTGCCTTCCTGCAGCTACTCAAAAACATGAGAGGGCAGGAGGAGAGAGACCTCCATATCTTTGCACGTGAAGACTAGGAACAAACTGTGTCTTTAATAGCTACTTTCACCTTACCCAAAGATAGAACGAAAGTACATCTTGCTGAGATGCACATATGTAGGAAGCATGGGAATGGAGAAGAGGGGGAGGGTCCTCCTATTTCACTACTGGCAACGGCAGGGAGAAGAAACGGGAAGGATCCTTTCCATGTGCCAGGCTGCTCTTCTGTTGTTACAGAGGATTAGCGAGAATAAAAGGATAGATGGCGAAATCCTCCTCTGCTGAAGGCAATGGCAAAACTCCCACTCACTCCTACAGGGCCAGGATCTCCCCTTTTTAACAAATTAATTATGAGCTTCAAAATCCAATTAAAAATAGGAACATCACGGAGCTGTGCCACACTGACTTCTTTTCAGGCTCTAATTCCTCAAAATTAATAACTGCACTTAAAACTCGTGCCCGTGAGCCACTCCCAGGAAGGAGGCTCTACTCCTTAACTCACCTTTATTCAACAAGGATCCATGCAGTGCTTAAACAAACCCATAAATCCACATGTTTACACATACGCTCAACAGAGGAGCCTACACACATCCGAAAAGAAGCCGATACGCAGGTATGCAGCTGTTAAATGCTGAAGTGTTTCAGCTCAGAACTGATTCACACCGTAGGGCCGGTTCAGCTTTCACACATGCACAAGCACACCTGGGAAGGGCAAGCAGCCAGCAATGCAGACATATGTTCGAGCAGTAAATTATGCAATTTTCTAAGACGAGTACTAGTCTTAAAACAATACACCACTTGCTCATGGAAAATGTTCTAGAATCGACCCAGAGCAGTGGCTTTCAGCTTTCTCTAAGCTTTTCCCAGGGAGGTGCAGTGATTTCAAGCTTACTGACCACATTCCAGTTCCCTTGGGCAGTGTGCATTGCAGACCAGTGCAGCAGAGAACAGACGAGCTTCAGAGTGAAGCAGTGGGTTCTCAGGACCCAACATGCACACCACGGGCATGTGAAGGGTGTTATTTCTGGCTAGCCACAGCCTGGTCCTGTGGCCTGTCCGCAGGTGAAGTGTGCCAGTTGTGTGCTTGCAGAGCACCTCCTGGACAGGCCATCCAAAACCACATCTGTGCTCCAGCCAGGCTGAACCAGTGAATGGGAGCAACCGGAAGCCTCACCTCAAAAGGGGATGCTCGATCACCAGAAAACACTTACTAGATACATCCTTAGTTGCCTACTGAAGATCCCTAGAAGCAGCCTGCACATGCTTGCAAGCACACGAGCGCTGTGCTGAAACCTACTTTTCTAGAAGGACCTTATCATCAGAAAAGCTAGTGGTACAGGAACACTATTAGCCTTTCAGATACGTCTTACGGCTTTAGTCCATCATGACTGTATACTTCTGTAAAGCAGCCTCTCTTCACTGTGGTGGCTCTATCTTGCAGTCCATAGCCCATTTTAATGCTCTTCCTGGAGTATATTTTCATACCCTGAGACTGGGATGGCTGGAGAATAGGCTCTCTGTTCCAATTCTTTTTATGGCACCTCACACAACCTAGCTCTTCTCCTAAGAGTACCTCCAAAGCACACTCCAGGACAGTCTGTCCCTCCATTCTATTTCATCCAGCCTGGTCCAATCTGGTAACTGGAGAACAAAGACCTTTGTAAATGTGTTGGAAACATGCAATAGTGAAGCTAGAATTTATGAGTCATAACAAAAATCCATCAGACTTTGGCAGCCCCAAAATCAGGTCACTATTTGTTTGGTGACTAAAACAAGGACAGGACTGTAAGTATTAGGCATCTAGTTACAAAATACACAAATGACTGGTATATCTTTCTCTTGAAAGCCAGAAGTTTATCATTTGGAAATATGGAAGAGCCAAGCACACAATTCAGCAACACTACCATGGTAAACACACATCAGGTCCCCAGCAAAATGGGATTGACAGAGCTGGGCTGGTTCTGTGATGGAGACAGCGTACTGGTCCTTGGGACTTCTCCCTCCATTTTCCAGCCTCCGTCAGTTTTGGTGAGTTTCATCTCATGCAACTTTAGGCATCAGAAACCACCATCTGAAATAACCGCCTACGGCTCTTTTTCAAGTTAATGGAGAAGCAAAGGCATGTGCAGAGTGCGACACAACAGACCCCAGTAAGACTGGAATCAGAGGTGAATTTCCTCCTTTGATGGTATAGTGGGCTAGGCACCAGCTCAGCTACAGGCAGCTGTATCTTTACTTTCCAGGCAC